TATTGAAGAAGGTGCAAACAGTGCATTTTTATATTGAAATTAGCAGCAATACACTATTATGGCAAAATGACCAGCAATTCATTTTATAGCCATATGACCTGCAATGAATTTTTATATAAAAATATCCAGGAATTAATTTTTATAATAAAATGACCACCAATACTTTTTTATAGTCAAATGACAAGCAATTTATTTTTATAGCAAAATGACCAGCAATTCATTTTTATAGCAAAATGGTTTGGAATTATTTTTATAATGTCATTTTCCTATAAAATGTATATCAGGATATTAATATCATTATATGAATATCATTATAATGTCATTTTCCTATAAAATGTATTGCTGGTCATTTTAGACCAGCAATACATTTTATAGGAAAATGACCAGCGATTTATTTTTATAGGAAAATGGCCAGCAATTTATTTTTATAGGAAAATGACCAGCAATTTATTTTTATAGGAAAATGGCCAGCAATTTATTTTTCCAATAAAATGACCAGCAATACTTTTTTTTATAGCAAAATGACTAGCAAAATAATTCTTAGCAAAATAACCAATACATTTTATAGTAAAATGGAAGCTTTGGCATATATTGTCAAATTTTTAAAAAAATTGCAATTTGCTATGATTAATTTTATTTCTTGGAAAAAAGAAGTTTTCACTTCTCATTTGATTTTGTAAAATTATTTGGTAAGAAAAATGCAGTTAAGTAATTATAATTTAATCATGAAATAATGTCATTCTCTTGAATTAATTATAAAGTTTGAATTTTTCATATTTAAATTTCGACAATAAATAACCCATAAAGGTGAGGATATGCCGCTAAACAAAATCAACGAAACCAACCTTTTGTCACCACGACGACTACAGCATGATCTGCCCTTCCTCTGTGATGATAATAATAATAATAATAATAATAATAATAATAATAATAATAATTATTATTATTATTATTATTATTATTATTATTTTATTATTATTATCATTATTATTTTTATTTTTATTTTCTTTGATTTCTGGCGTTTACACATTTCTTTCCGGGTCCCGCCAGGGACCTAAGGTTAGAAATGGCATCATGACACTTTCCACTGACCCAAAAAAAAATATTACATAGATAAAGCCCTTCGTAAAGTGTGGGCTGTACTTGTCAGAACAATTTCTGTTGAAATATTGTTGAACGCTGTTTTTCTTATCCTTCCTTAAAGAAACCCTAAATGTTGTAATAGTAATAAATTAAAATTGTACCATCCTCATCATCACGACTACTGTTGAGTGGGCCAATATCTGCACTGGAAAATCTGCAACTTCTACGGGAAGGAAACTGAAAGAAAATGGTATGAACACCACCCAGACCCGGTTACGGAGATAGGACCTGTTACAATTTTATGGGACTATAATAATAAACAAAGACAGAACAATCAAGGCTAACCGCTCAGACATAGTTATTAGAGACCGCAAACAAAATAAGCTTCTTTATTGATAGGGCAGTCCCTACGGACTGCAATGTATCAAGATCTTCAAAAAGCTATCAAAATACAAGGACCTTGAAATCGTAATCTCAAAAATGTGGCACATGAGAACATCAACTATTCCTGATGTAGTTGGAGCCCTCGGATGGATTGGAAAAGATTCCAGTAGACTAATTGAAGGGATTCCTGGAAGTCCATGCCTTAAAGAAATACAAAAAAATTGTTCCCATGAGTACAGCCCACACCTTAAGAAGGGCTTTATCTGTGTAAAATATATTTGGTTTTGTTTCGTTTTTTTTTTAATTGGTCAGTGAAAAATGTCATGATACCATCTCCAACCTTACGTCTCTGGATGGGACCCGGAAGGAAATGTGTACAAACCAGACATCAAAGGAAATAAAATAATAATAATAATAATAACAACAAATTTATGGAACTTTACAAGACACACAGATAGAACAATCAAAGCTAATCGCCCAGACATCGTGATGAAAGACTACACAAACTGAATCTGCTTACTTGTTATACATGGCAGTCCCTGCAGATTGTAATAGATATGAATGAGGAGGAGAGGTTATCGACCGGGAATCGTGCAATTGAATGGGGTTTGAGAATTGAATGGGGTTTGAAAAAGAATGTACAATAATAGATATAGGAGCTCATCATAAACAAAGAAAATTTAAACACATGATTAGAATTCAAAACAAAATAATAAAATATACCATTCGAACTGTTTGAGAAGATCATTATTTATATTAGTTCATAAACAACAAGGAAACAAGGCGTAAATAGTGTATTTAAACACATGAAATTGAAAGAAGGGAGATTGGGTGATAATAAAACAAAATAAAATAGTCCGAACGTAAATATATCTAAATAATGATATCTCCTCATCTCAGAAAATCGAAGAACACGTGATTTCTGATTAACAACAAAGATGAGGACAATAGTCCGAACGTCGATATATTTAAATAATGATATCTCCCCATCTCAAAAATCACAAAGAAACGATTGGGTAATAATAACAAAGATGAGGACAATAAGAACGTCGAAATAGTGTAAATAATGATATCTCCTCATCCCAGAAATTGAAAGAGAGGGAGATTGGGTGATAATAACAACAAAGATGAGGACAATAGTCCGAACGTCGATATATTGTAAATAATGATATCTCCTCATCTCAGAAAATTGGGAAGAACAAAGATGAGGATTCCGAACGTCGATATATAAATAATGATATCTCCTCATCCCAAAAATGAAGAACACGTGATTGGGTGATAATAACAACAAAGATGAGGACAATAGTCCGAACGTCGATATATTGTAAATAATGATATCTCCTCATCCCAGAAAATCGAAGAACACGTGATTGGGTGATAATAACAACAAAGATGAGGACAATAGTCCGAACGTCGATATATTGATATCTCCCCATCTCAGAAAATCGAAGAACAAATAACAACAAAAATGAAGATATAGTCCCCATCTCCCCATCTCAGAAAATCGAAGAACACGTGATTGGGTGATAATAACAACAAAGATGAGGACAATAGTCCGAACGTCGATATATTGTAAATAATGATATCTCCTCATCCCAGAAAATCGAAGAACACGTGATTGGGTGATAATAACAACAAAGATGAGGACAATAGTCCGAACGTTTAAATAATCCTCATCCCAGAAAAAATCGAAGAAGACGTGATCCAAAGATCTTAATGATTGACAAATAATGATATCATCTAGAAAATCGAAGCGTGATTGGGTGATAAAACAACAAAATGAAGATAATAGTCCGAACGTCGATATATTGTAAATAACGATATCTCCCCATCTCAGAAAATTCGTGATTGGGTGATAATAACAACAAAAAGATGAGGACAATAGTCCGAAGGAATTTGATATCTCCCCATCTCAGAAAATCGAAGAACACGTGATTGGGTTTCAAAGATTTCCGAACGTCATTATCTTTATCAAGAACGTCATTTTTGATATCTCCTCATCCCAGAAAATGGTTGATTGCAAAGATGAGGCAATAGTCCGAACGTCTTTATCTTTGCGAAGCCTTGATACAAAGATCAAAAACGTCGATATATTAAAAAGATATCTCCCCATCTCAGAAAATGATTGGGTGATAATAACAACAATAATGAAGATAATAGTCCGAACGTAGATATATTTAAATAATGATTTTTCCCCATCTCAGAAAATCGAAGAACCTGATTAACAACCAATAGGAACGTCATAATTATTCCCGGAAGTTTCAAAACGATTCATTCAATGATTTTCTAACGGCTTAAATCAACCCTTTGTAATTATGAGTTTTATTTAAAGCAGTCGAAGAAAATAATTTTAGATTCTAAGTTTTTTAGAACAGCGAAACGAGAACAATCTACCTCTATCAAAGAAAGGACTCATTGTCTCAATAAGCGCCTTACGAAAGTCTTAATAATGAAGACCTGAGTTTTTGGATCTTAATGAATATATAGATGCTAAATACAGAATGAATTTAAATGAACTTTCTTTAGATAGATAGATAGATGCAAAGATGGTAGATTGATAGATAGAGTCTTTAAACCAGCCTTGATAGAGTCAAATAGATTTAGATACGCTGAAGCCTCTTCCCAACGGATAGATTCATTCATAGATAGATGCAGGTTATTTAAAGCCAGAATATAGATAGTTTTTTTTTTAAACCAGGTGTTACAAGATAATTGATAGTTTGAAGATAGATAGATACAGAATAGATAGATAGATAGATAGATAGATAGAACAGAATAAGAATAGATATGAGCAGACTAAAATAGATAGATAGATAGATAGATAGATATTAAACCAGGATAGATAGATAGATAGATAGATAGATAGATAGATATGATAGAATATGAAACAGACTGAGATAGATAGATAGATATTAAACCAGGTTAGATAGATAGATAGATAGATAGATAGATAGATATGAACAGACTAAGAATGATATGAGCAGACTAAGATATATATATATATATATATATATATATATATATATATAGAGAGAGAGAGAGAGAGAGAGAGAGAGAGAGAGATATGAACAGACTGAGATAGATAGATAGATAGATAGATAGATAGATAGATACATACGTCGGTAGGTAGGTAGTTTTACCATTGAACTAGCTAGATGTAGCCATATGTTCTATTCTAATAATTACTTTTATCACACTTTTCGGCTGTAGAACTTCCTTCTGAATTCTTACCTCCCTGTCAACTACAATCTTTAAAAATTTAAATGCAATGGCAATGGCCATGTTCTTTCTTCCTGAACTCTGTTCTTTTATAGTCCTTTCTCTTCACTAAAGTTTTCTCTTTCACTCTCAGTAACCCCTTGCGTCTTAGTGCAGTGAAAAATTTTAAAAAAATATTCCCAGATTGATTCTTTTTCTACGGCTTATCAACTCTTTGTGCGTAAGTGAATATAATGAACCCAACGTGAATTGGAACTCGGCTTTGCGATTAACAATGCCGACCAATTACCCATTACACGACCCGCACTTCCAAGCTTACAGCAGCTGGTATTCCCAACCGGTCAACCCTCTCGGTACTGACCCGGCTCAATGTTGCTTAACTTTAGTGATTTACGGGAACCGGTGTTTCAACGTGATATGGCCGTAACCCTTTTCCCACAGAGGCTACGTTGTAAGCCAATTGCTTCTTTTCCCACTATATCCATGGAAAATGTTCACATTAGCGCTCCATTCTTCAGTTCCACCAGTTCAGACCTTTATTCCGAGGTACTTTCACGGAGTCGAATCACTATCATTTCCTCCATATTCCAAAATGTAAAGGGAAAGTTCCACTCAGCTGTTTTACAAAAGCTTCGTGGAACTGACTCCCGCGTGGATGTTTCCTCGAATATGACAATCCTAAACTCTTTATCTGCCCACCTTATGTTCATACTCTTCCTAATCTTCGTAATTATCTTCCTCTTTCATTCACATTTCAACTGTAACGCTCTACCATGAGTGGCTTTTGAGCCTTTTGTTAAGTAAATTTTAATATGAAAACATATGTTATATAGGAATAAAGTGTTGCTGCCGACATTTGAGTCTGAACATAGATCGCCAGTGAGTAAACATAAGTGATCCCATTATTGAATTAAGTAGACCACGTGACCATAAAGGAAACGCAAATACAGGAAGACGAGTGACGTCTAGTTTAATCTGTATTTCTATTCTATCCTCTAATACTATTCGGATCGTTATTTCTACTCTATCCTCTATTACTATAGGGACCGCTATTCTCTACTCTATTCACTATACTATTTCTCTATTCAGATTACTGAACGGTGGCTACTATTCGAGCGGGTATTATCGAGCAAGAACTATTAGTGCGAGACTTATTCGAAAGTGTCTGACACCAGCTTTGTTCAACGGCGTTACTATAGTTGCATCTGCGATTACAAAGTCTCTACTACAACGAGAATTACGAAAGTGACAACGAGTATTCGTTGACACCACAAAAGTGACAAACGAGTGTTCGTTGACATCACAAAACATGTACTCAAAACGAGAAGACATCCCCTTTCGATTTTCTCTTTCCCTCTAATAGACACGCCCACACATATACACCCACGCATTCGAATGACATTAATACATTAATTAATAAATAATATTGAATATATTTAATTTGTTTCGATTATTCATTTTCTCTCAATATAATCTCTTTCATGAAAACTGGCACTGCATTTACGATCAATAGTTTTATATAAATTGTACTTGCTTTGTATTTTTTAATATTTGGTAGAATAGATTTTACAAGTATATAATGACAATAATAACAAGCATTACGAAAATGACAGCGAGTATTCGTTGGCATCACAAATGTGTCAATCGAGTGTCCGTTGACCTCACAAAATATATATATATATATATATATATATATATATATATATATATATATATATATATATATTATGGAAAAACAAAGTGGAAAATATTCTTTTGAATAAGTAGATCACTTGATGGTAAAGGAAATGTATATATGGGAGTTAGTGTGGCGTCTAAGTGATCACTATATGGATTACTATTCGGATCACTATTCGGTCGTTACTTTCCGAGCGAGTATTATCGATCAAGTCCTATTAGTGTGAGTGTTATTCGAGAGCGTCTGACACCAGTATTGTTCAACGTCGTTACTATAGTTGTATCTGCGCTTACAAAGTCTCTACTACAACGAGAATTACGAAAGTGATAACGAGTATTCGTTGACATCACAAAACATCAGTAAATAATTGTTCATTAGCAGTAAAATTTTATTATATGTAACAACATAATTTTTTGCAAGATCAATGTATCAGTATTTCAATGAAAGTATTTTATGCATCAAAGTAAAGTTTTTTCTTTTCAGTTTCACTAAAATGATATACTCAGTCAGTTATGTGCCATGCGTAATACATGCTTAGGCGATCATGTATCTTTCGATACATGACTGACGAGACAGATTTTTTTCCGCAGTAGGTTGCCATTTCTTTCAGCGGTAGACCAGTTGCCATCCAATGCTATAGAACCCAGTCTGTCCTTCTATTTACCCATAGCTGAGCGTGGGGGGGGGGAGAAGAAGAGGATTCACACCTTTCCCAAAGGTATTAGCACGTAAGTGAATGTAATGGATTCAATTGGAATTCGAACTCGGCTCTCCGATTCCTCAATCCAAGCCGCTATCCATTACTCCACCGTATAAGGGATCATTAATATCGGGGTGAGCTTGATCGAAGGCAGATCAAATACATTATTATTATTATTATTATTACGTATATATTTATTTGAGATCCTCTCGGACTCTTCATTGATTCGGCTGAGTTATAATGATCATGCGAGACGGAGATAATCTTGGAGCTAGTTCCGAGAGCACCAGCCACAAAAGGAAGAACTTCAGCTACTGCTTGGTACGTTTTTCTTCTCGATCTGCCCGCTCAGGTCTCGGTATTTTCTCCTGCCCCACCTTCGCGATGTTCATATCACAAGGTACCGTAATGTCAATCAAAAACAATTTCATGGCCGCGCTTGTGCTAAGGCCACAGCCATTGCTCTTCAAGCGCTAGTCAGTTAAGATGGTTGTATCCCACATGGCCTTCACATACTCATTCTCGGCTAATGACGTTGGCGTATGCTCGCATCACTTCTTTTTAAGCATTTCACCCCAAGCAAGGCGGGAGTGCCACTAGCACGCAAAGGATTACAGAGAGTGAAAGTAAGAGTAAAGAGAGGTGTTTGAGAAAAGGATAAAGAGAAGAACGGGGATCAAGATCAAGGCATCATATGTCGATTGACATTACATTGACATTTTTGAATATTATAGTTATCAGGAAAGCAAGTAATAGGAAGGGAGTTCCACTGTCTGGAAGTGCGACAGAAGAAGCTGTTGGGGTAGAAGAGGCGGTTACATTTAACTGTTTCGACAGTAAAAGGGTGGGGCCGAGATACCAACCTAGTAGCACGCTTAAATTCATGCAGTTGCTGTACCAGTGGAAATAGCTCGTCAGAGCAGTTGCCATGAAAATATTTGTAGAAAAGACAGAGGGTAGCCACATCACGTTGTGAGAAAGTGAATGGAGTCGAGGTACCATCACATTGCATATCCATCCCTGGATTTTGTCGAAAACAGCGGGTGCACCACACCATGTATGGCAACAGTATTCCATACAAGGACAAATGATAAATTTGTAGATGTGAAGGATGGACTCAGATGAGAAAGACCTTCTGGCTCAACACAGAGAACCAACTTTCCTTGCAGTAGATGTAGCTATTGATTCAATGTAGTTGTTCTACCTCAGGTCAATGACTGGAGTCGAGATGCCAAGTCAGAGCCTATCACATTGCATATCCGTCTCTGGATTTTGTCGAGAACCTCGAGATGAACAACGGGGGCATCAGACCAGATATGGTAACAGTATTCCATGCATGGACGAATGATAGATTTGTAGATGTGAAGGATATACTCAGACGAGAAAAGGGCACCTAGAGGCGGTGCAATGGTTAGCAAGCTTGTCTCGCTAGCACAATTACGAATGAGTAGTAAGTTCGTTCCTCACTGGGTGCCCCATACTTTCGGCCTCGCGCCACATCTAAGCTACGCTTGGAAAATCGCTACTCAAACGAGAAAAACATTCTGGCGCGCCACATAGAACCAACTTTCCTTGCAGTAGATGCAGCAATTGATTCAATGTAGCTATTCCATTCTGCTCACTTGAAACCACAATTCCCTCTTAGTTCTTTGTGTATTTTGAGAGCTAGTTTGTCAAGGTATCGCCTGTACTCTTTTAGTGCCAACTGAGTGTAGACACTTTCATTATTATTATTATTATTATTATTATCTCTTTTGTAGTTCCTTACTCAGCACATACGTACGTTACACCCTATCAGTACTTCATAAATAATGAACTACTGCGTTTTGATGTTGTGGAAAGACAGAAAAGACATATCAGAGACGCTACTTTGTTTTCAGTGAGAAAGTAAGAGAAAGAAAGATGGAAAGAGAGAAGAGCCGATAACACTCTCATGTGTTTAACGCCTGCTTCAGTGAAATGGAAAAAAGTTGCTAATTTCGAATTTATTCATTTTCATATTTTATTGTCGTAGAACTCGCCATGAGGATATTCAATCATTAACTCAAGAATTAAGATTCATTAGAAAATTCAAATAGGAAAACCGTGCATTTTTCACAGGTATTTATAGTTATTATTATTATTATTATTAGTAGTAGTAGTAGTAGTAGTAGTTGTTGCTGTTGTCATCGTCGGCATCCGTCCGTCTCGAGAGACGATGGAGCAGCACGGTGCGCTACGTTGGGATATATGGAGAACTAGGGCTGCCTAGACGTCTAGTTCCCCCTCTCGGCCTTGCTAACAGAGTCCAAAGAAGAGGATAAACTAATACAGTTTGGTACCAGAGCGGCTGCAGGAGTTGCCGGAAGGTAGCACAAAGTGCCGTCCATCCACCTTAGGGGATCTACTCCGGGTTTGAATTCAGAGTTGTCTTTCTCCTAGACCAGTTGCTATCCAAGGCTATAGAACCCAGTCTGTCTTGCTATTTACCCATAGCTGGAGAGAGAAGAAGAGGATTAACACCTTTCCCAAGTGAATGTAATGGATTCGACTGGAATTCGAACTCTGCTCTCCGATTCCTCAATCTAAGCCGCTTACTCCTCCGTGCCTTGTAATAGTAATAATAAATTACAGATTAGAGTAGAAATTGTTTTAATCTTCAAGTTAGAACATTCTGACCATATTGCCCTAACATAAATTCCTCTACGATGTGCCATTTTTGTTGTGTTTCAGTAACTAACAAATCAGATCATTATAATATAGATAGTTGCGATTTTCACTAGACATGTCGCGTCCTCGTCAAAAGAGGGCTAATTGGTGAAGTAAACCTCCATTAAAAAGACATTTAACAGACCGAATTGTATTAATAGACAGCTCAATAATTTTCCCAGAGGTTAAGCAACTGACCGAGGGGAACGTAATCTGACAGATCAGATAAATTCACTTCGTTCTGCTTCATCAGAACAGCCATAATGACCCGTTGCTATTACCGTTTATTGTGAGCTGTCATCTCTGTTAAGAGCCTACTCCTTGATATTACCGGCTTACGACTATATCACATTGAAACACTGGTTTTCGTACGTTTAAACAGAAGTTAAGCGACGTCGAGCCTGGTCAGTACCTAGGTAGGTGACCGCTTGGGAATACCAGGTGCTACTGGCTTGGATGTGCGGGTGGGTTATGGATAATTCAAAATTGGAGAGCCGTGTTCCAATTCCAGTCGGTTTCATTATATTCACTTGCACGTATATACCCTCGGGAATAGTATGAATCCCTAGCTATGGGTTAAATTGTAGGATTTGTATCAGTAAATCATTATTATCTCAAAAAAATCTTACAATCCAAAAACTTCTGGCTTTAAATAACCTGCAAGAAATGACCTTATTATTATTATTATTATTATTCTGCTTGTTCTTTCGTGAGCACATGCGTACATTGCGCCTGTCAGTACGTCCTTTGGGCACCTCGAGGTGGTGTAACGGTTAGCAAGCTTGTTTCGCTAGAACAATTACGACTAAGTAGTGAGTTCGATCCTCACTGGGTGCCTCATACTTTCGGCCTTGTGCCACATCCAAGCTACGCTAGGAAAATCACTATAACCCTGAACCCGTTTATACGAGTTCAATGGGCACATTTTTGGAATGCCCACGTTAAAAAGGCCTTGTGCCATATGACACCCTCGTGGGGGCGGTGACTGAATATCGTCAGTACTTCATAAATATCTCTCTACCATGTGCAGTTTTTACTGTGTTAGAGTAGCTAACAAATCATATATATATATATATATATATATATATATATATATATATATATATAGATAGATAGATAGATAGATAGTCACGATTTTCATTTGTATCCCCTTACTTCTTAAGATAACAATCAGCATATTTATGATTAGGTGTATTGGGATGGCCAAGGACATTCCAAAAGCTGAGCAGAGTATTGCGAGACAGGAGGATTTCTTTGGTAACAAAGAAAAGAATACTGAATTGTTACGTTAAATCTGTTCTTCTTTACGGCAGCAAATGTTGTAGATCTCCTCAAAGATGAAGAAGAGACTCGAAGCGACGGAGATGTGTTTCTACAGAAGGATGCTGAGGATATTTTATGGACCGAGCGTGTGAAATCTTAGAGAAGATGCTAACAAGGAGTAGTCATGCTTAACATCAGGAAGAGTCTGCTGAAATTTCTAGGACACGTAATGAGAAAGGAAGGTTTGGAGAATCTGATACTCACTGGTAGAATAGTGGGAAAGAGAGATAAGGGAATGCAACGCATGACATACATGGCGGGCTTGAGCAAGTGGATGACAGAACGGAGTTTAGAGACGAGAGACGATATTTATAGAGAGCTACAAGGGATAGAGTGGAGAGCCATGATCGCTTACGTCCTGAAAGGACACGGCTCATGAAAAGAAAGAAATGACCATGGACTGACAAGTCTTTTGTTCTGACTATTTTTTTAAGCGTCTCACCCCAAGCAACGTGGGAAGTCACTAGCACGCAAGGGGTTACAGAGAGTTGGAGAGAGAGCAAATAGGAGTGATAGAGGAAAGGATGAAGAGAAGGATAGGAGATAGATCAGGGCATCTGGAGACGTCGATTGACATTACATTTGAATCGTTGAAGATTATAGCTATCAGGGAAACAGGAAAAGGGGAGGGAGTTCCACAGGCGAGAAGTGCGAGAATGAAGCTATTGGATTAGAAGAGACGACTACATTTAACAGTTTCGACAGTGAAGGAGTGAGAGCGAGATGCCAGCCTCGTCGGGCGCTTGAACTCATGAAGTCTGGGAGCTCATCGGAGCAGTTACCGTGAAAGTATTTGTAAAAAAAAAGAGGCGACGGCACGTCTGTGTGAGAGCGACTGCAGATGAGATGCCAGATCAGAGCCAATTACATTGCATATCCCTCTCTGGATTTTATCAAGAAACTTGGGACGAACACAAGGGGCTCCAGACCATATATGGCAGCAATAGTCTATGCAAGAGCGAATGGTTGATTTGTAGAGTTGAAAAAATATATATATATATAAATCTCTTGGCGCAGCACAGGGAACCAACTTTAGCCTCTTTCAGTATTTTCAGTATATGTTTCGGTATTTGAAGGTCGTTTTCCCATAATTTTGCTTGTTATAGTTTCTTATAATATAACGATATATAATTGTGTATCTATTTCTACGGTAGATATTTAGTTTTCTTTTTTTTTTGTTTTTTTGTTTTTTGTATTTTGTAAAAATGGCTGACCTTCCTTAAACAAAAAATTAACATTTTTTTTTTTTTCGTAGTCCGACCCGCGTCATGATGAGCTATATCTCAAAAATCCCATTGCTTGAAAAAGGTACCTCATACCTGTTCTGGATCAACCCCTGTGCTCCCGAGGTCTCCTGACATTGAAACTTCCGTGGCGGCGAACTCGTCCAGAAAATAAAAAAAACCTTTCCAATTTGTAATATTT